GGACTTTGAAATTCAACTGTTGGTTGTTGAACAGCTGCAGACCGCAATAAATCAAGAGGAAACACTTGTATATGTTAGTGTACTGACCAGCATATACGTTCAGTGCTGTAATATTTATCTTCAAATAAGTCTCGTGTACCTTTAAAAAGGTCTCGTGTACCTTTTAAAAGGTCTCGTGTACCTTTCTCTATTCGATTTTTTTAGTAACAGTAATTTTTTTAGTGTTTGATGTTGAAGTAGCGCCTTTATTATTTAAGTATTTATTTCTCGTCAATAAGTCTTTATTGACTTGAATTTAAATAATGGCGGCGTCTGTGGGCTGAGGTCAATAAACTAGGAAGCAAAGCACGCATGCATTTTAGTTATGAGATTTGTTCGTTTGTAATACGAGATAGGATTTAATTTTATTTATTATTTCTTTACGAAATTCATTTATCTTGCAAATGATTCATTTTTTTCTAAAGGATTTATTTTTATTTATTATTTCTTTACGAAATTAATTTTTCTCACAAATGATTTATTTATTTCTATTTTCTAAAACAAATTTCCATTGAAATTGAGCAAAGTTTTATTGATATTATTTTCTCTCGCACAAAAACTAACCATGTGTTCGGATGAGTTTTGGAAGGATGATGAATACCAGAAATAATGTAATTGAAATTTGCTAGTTTCTGTGAGGTAGCTTAATTGTTTTCTTCCGAGTTGAAATTATTTCTAGTGAATCCAAATGGTAACATTCTAAGTCAGTTGAATACTTGTACACAACTGCTAAGATGCAAGGTCGCTTGCTGATGCTGTTATGCTGCAAAAATAAAAAGTATTTGAATGCGTATATATCGTACGTAATCTATATATCTTATATATAGTGTAAATATATTTTCTATGTCAAGGTTATAATAAAAAAATTTTATCCATGGATAAAATGTAGATTTCAATATTAATATCGTTGCACCGGAATAATTTATTCAGCCATATCCTAGTTCTTTCTGATTTACAAGGTAGTTTCTTTTCCACAACTGACGTCATCATGATTATCAAGTCAGTTATTATGATTAGGTACATAAATTGGTTCATGATTCCTTTGCTATCTTTTTTTTTTCAATATAATATAGACTTAGGATGGTACGCCAAATACTAATTCCGCAATTTAGACCTGAAGCCTCATTACTTCGATAAATTTTTCTTTCTAAATAACTTTAAATTTTTATTTAGAATTTATAAAGCCATGAAACTTGAAACCCCAACCAGTTGCTCACAGTTTTAAAGGATGTGTGTATTTTGCTTAAAATAAAAACGGATTCATAAACTGATAGAACAAACATTTTTTTTATGCAAGAAATATCATAAGCAAAAAAAGACGACAGACGAATGCTTGCCGAATGCGACAGGCGGCAACCCCCCTCCCCCGCCCACACAGGCGACAGCTGCAGTTTTTGGTCGCAGACAACAACTGAACCCAATCTCACAGTCGCCTGTCTGTCTGCCTTCTTTAATTGGCTTTGGGTCGTTGACTCTGAGATTCTATAAAACAGACTCATGCAGCTGAATACTGACTTGTAATGCCGGACACTGACTAATAAAGCTGTGCACTGACTTTTAAGGCTGGACACAGACCCTGAAATAATCGAAAAGTATTGATCTAACGACTGATTTTGGGACATGAAGATTATCACTTGCACTAATGATCAAGAGAATGTTGATTCCGATACCAAAATTCGAAGTTCTAATTGACCGTTGAGTTAGATCAAAATGTCTAGATTTACTGACACGCCGGCGATTGGACATGGACTTTTTTTATCTCGATACAATGGCACTGAGACGGCAGGTCACTTGTCAAGTTGATATTGAATATAAGGAATATCTCGTACACTTGCTCGGTTGCTGAATTATCCGAAAACTTCTAATGATCAGAAGTCGATACTCATGCAGCGATCATCCTATGACATCATTAATGGCACTGCTATGTAACAAATATTTCTTATAAATTATCGAAAGTAATAAATATTAGCATAGTTCATTATCAGTTTGAACGTACGTTGCTGCAATTGTTTAACTTCAAGTACTAATTGTCTTTCTATGGATGTTATTTATCACTTCCTGATAGGTAATGAAGTTAAAATGGTTTTAAAAAAATGATGGCAGGCTGGTATAAATGAGCCCGATTATCACGATCTGTCGTTAGGAAACGCTGTAATACTCAATCTACGGAATTCAAAGAAGAAGTTTCAGTACCCAAGCATTCGCCCTCTCATGGTGATCCTTCATCTGAACGAGGGTAGAGTTTACACGAAAAAACTTCAACAATTTTATAGCATATAACTTGATGTAGTTAACTCAGGCTATCAGGTAATTAATAGAAAAATCTATTGATTCATTGGCTCCGGCGTTTTCAAGGAATTTTTCTAGATGAACTTTGAAAAACTTGCGTGAGCGAAGATTGTATATAGCCTCATTTTCTTAGCAGTAACAAATTGATGTGCTGGCGGATTTTCAAGATTTAGGTTGTCGGCATGCCCGATCGAAATCTTTGTTCAGTGTAAAAACCATAAAATTCCTTTTAGTTCAATAGTGGTGTTGATTATTTGGGTTTCGGTGCAACTCAAGCACCTCTTTCAAACTCATCATTCAACATTGATCACCAAAAATTAATTGCACGTCCTTAGATTTATTCATTTAAAATTCCCGATAATTCTAACACCTAGGCTTCCATCGGGTGTTGCAAAAATTGGCAGTTAAAATAGTTGGACTCCTTAAAAATAATTTATATAGTTAATAAACTGTTCCATATCCTTGAATTGAATTAGTAGAAAAAAATCTGGTCGCAAAGCATGCGGCAAAAATGTCTCCAACTGTATATAGTGTTTGTAGTAATTCTGGCGATTTATATTACAAATATTACTGATGAAACAGTTCTGAATTGATTAATTTTCAGGATGAAAACATCAATGCTGGCTTTGCATTACTATACCCATGCTATTCAGTAATTAAGCTATTAACAGAATAATGTTTTACTCTGTTACTTTCAAAATATTCATTAAATCGTATGACATGCTATATTATTAAATAGAAAATATTTGTGCAACATTTTCATCAATGTACATGAAGAAAATCATTAATAGGTAAAACGTATATGACTTGTTTATTTATCAAGATTCGTTGACATGACAGGCTGTCTGATTTACATCAATGTTATGCCGATAGATTTGCATCAGAAGTATGATGTAAAGCCGTGAGAGTTCATCAACGTTATGATGGCTCCAGGTTCTCTGACAGAGGGGCGTGTGGAAGCAAGGCTCACAGTCCATCCTCTTGAAATGACGTGAAACTCGATCCTGTCTCTGCTTAATTTACAGTCAGAGCTTCTCTCGCGACCACGATCTGCCAGGCCAGCATAAGAGATCGATGACGTATAGTGCTGCCTCGACCCCATGCAAGACGTCGATGACGTTATGGGCTTAATGCTAGTGACGCATAAACTTTACACGAAAGTGACACGAAAAAATTAAATGCGATACACAGATGCCCTAAACGGCTCGCACTGTGAAGCTCTCGACGAATATTGCTCAACTTGAGTTACTGGCGAATTAAAGTTTTTAAATTTCGGTAGTTTTAATTAATAAATAATTGTCTAGGTACGCAGCATTGTTCTTGTAAAATTCAGTTTCGTAAGTTTTAACTTCCTTTGAGCAACATACTTCCAGTGCCAGCAACTTGACTATTGAATCTATATTGAAGCTATATAATATTGAATAATAATATTATTATTGACATGTGTCAATAACCTAAAGCCACGCAGCAATGCAGTCTACACACATAAATCTTTGCTGCCCAAAAATTGAGGACTTACAACTGCACTACTGGCACAATCTTGCTCGAAATGTTTCGTTTGATTAGCATTAAAACTTCATGAATCTATTTTGTCTAGAAAAAATTTAACTTTTTGTTTTTCGATTATTTACTACAAGCTTTACAAGAAATCTAAGTTCCCATTCATGTTAGGAATGATGTAATATAACTGCTTTTCTGACAGGTGAGCATTTATAACAAGTTCTAATGCAATTCTCTTCACTCTGGTAATTAGTAATATTTTTGAGAGGAATTTTGAAGAATATATGCGACTTTTTTAGAAAGTTATTGTGAAAAAATGTTCGCAATCAACGGTTACTGAAATTAACTTAAAATCAAATCTATTGTAATTTACTTTATTCAAAATTATAACTTTTTCTTTGATTATCTGTTACAGTTTTCAGAATCGCCGTATAAACATTTGCTAGCATTGCGTGAATATCTTTGAATTTCCCAACAGACAACGAGTGTGCAATTTTTCGATATGTTCGCGACGGGCTCAGTAGCTCCATCAAGTGAAATCGTCTATCTTCGATTTCAGATTTTGGATTAATTACACAACAAGCTCGGGGCGAAGAACCTGGTTGGTTACATCCGTTGTTGATTTGAACATTAAAAGTGATGTCTAATGTAATATTCATATATCTGAGAGCATGCAAGTCCTCGAACGATATTCAGTCATATTTTGGCATCAAATTATACTGTACAGTGTAATGAATACTTAATTTCGCTCAATCATAGATGATCTCAGTTGCTGAAGAAACATGCGTCAAATCAATATACACGATATTTTTCATCTTCCATAGATGCAAGGATTGCTTCATTATTAACTTTGTCTCAGGAATGTAACCTACCGGCTTTTCGAACTGTTTACGGACATTGAAGTTTATCGAGGATTTCTAAAACTACGTCTTTCAACTAAATCAGTAGCTAACCATCCGAGTGAGACATGAAATTCATAAGAAATAAGCAAGAAACTGAACGACTCATTTAATGAATACTAGAAACACAGCGGATGGTATAAAGGCAGGGATGATACCAATTTACATCAGAACAGGGAACAAGATCTCAAGAAATGTTCTGTCGTTTTTATTTGCTTGCCCCCTCTCTGTCCGCAGCCCAGCAATACGAATGAGACTCTTCGCGAGCCCAATATGGCTGATGGATGTTACCCGTTACTTCTTTCCGCTTCTACAGAATTGAAGCCAACGGATCCTGATATTCATGAGCCTATTGATAAGGTCTTTAGTGTATTGACTTGTGCGAGGAAAGATATGGCTTCCTATGTATGTGCTATAGCAAAATATTTGTTAGAGAAAAAACTGTAAACGAAATAATTTTAGATAATTGGATAATTTTAGAATTTGGTGTTGGTACTGCGTAATGTATTGGAAATTATTAATCCGGCCAATAAAACTTTCAATATATGATTCTTGGCCCCGATTTAATAAAATGACGTACAACTGTAAATGATCCAGCGAATATTTCTGCACTATTGTCTCTGCGTCACGACTTCATGCGGCTGGAGCCTCTTAACTCGGTAAACTTCTGGTTTGAAAATAAAGTAACGTAAATCATTATCTGTTGACAATCTCTATTGACATCGTTTCGAAGCCGTATGGTCTTATTTCCGAGGCCACACCAGAATTGGAAGCGAGAAAACCCGTGTCCGGAAAACCCGCGTCCGGAAAACCCGTGTCCGGCAAACCCGTGTCCGGCAAACCCGTATCCGGAAAACCCGTGTCCGGAAAACCCTTATCCGAAAAACCCGTGTCCGGAAAACCCTTATCCGGAAAACCCGTGTCCGGAAAACCCTTATCCGGAAAACCCGTGTCCGGAAAACCCTTATCCGGAAAACCCGTCTCCGGATAACCCGTATCCGGAAAATGACTCCGGAAGAAAGTCGTCGGGAGCGCGAGGCACGGTCGGTGGCGCTGGAGAAGGCCTACGTCCACGATGTCTATGACCAAATTTCCTGGCACTTCGGCACCGACCAGGCCAGAGCCTGGCCTAAGGTCACCAAGTTTCTGGAGGATCTCGAGCCAGGGTCTCTGGTCGCTGATGTCGGTAAGTGCATTAAATGTCAAAGTAGTAGTTAACTGAGGGTAATTATGTGTATTTTTTAACGATTAAGAGGTGGAGTTTAGTCTAGGATGCATCACTATTGGTGCTGTCGAGACACGTTTTTTTATAGAGCAAAATATCATAAATGAAACTGATACCTCTGCAAAAGCTTTCGCTTCACATTTTAAGACCTTGAATATCTCCATCATTCATTTCGTGTTTTGGTGGGAAATCATATTACAAAAAAGTATAACGTATTTATTGATAATCATGTTCTCATAATAAATGATTATAATATCATTAATACAAATATAAAAAATCGCTATTAGTTCTATTCAAGAATGAAATTTGATCAATAGTTTATTGGAAAACGTGCTAATCTGGTTATATTTTTACATTTAGAAATTTTCTTTTAATTTTTCTGGCTCATAATAACTAAAAACCGTGATATTAGTGCGTCAGGTCTACTAAACACTCGCCTAGTGAACTAAATTCATTGATCCTGATCTATCGCCCCAGGCTGTGGCACCGGCAAGTATCTGGCAGCAAACAAGCAAATTTTCAAGTTGGGGCTCGACCGATGTGCCAGTGTCGCTAAAACTGCGCGACAGAACAACTTTCAGGTTTGATTTACCTTGCAGTATAAGAAAATCATAGGAAGTTTATAACTCGTTTAGAATTGAGAAAGATTCCTTTTAGTTAAGCATTCATTACCTAGGTTAGTCCTGCTAACGTGACTGTGATATCAAAATAAACTCTAAGTGTTTTGTAAAACATCGTCAATATACACTAGTTATCTACTATTATCATATACCGCGTTTGTAGTCGGCGAAATTCACCTGCTCATATGGGTGCTGGGCATTCACTATAGGATCCGTTTGTCTTCTGCTATAATGCCACTATTATTTTTAGAATTTTTTATTGTGAATAAAAAATATGTTAATATTTTTTATTAACATATTTTATTGACAAAGTTAAATATTGTGCGAACAAAGAATGGAGATTACCAGCAGGTCCTTAATTATTAATATACATTTGTTTGATGTTCTCGTACGCAATGTTGATGATAATGTTTAAGATATATTTCACTAGCATCATTTGCTTACTATGGAATAAGTCAGCATTGAATTAATGAATATTGAATTCTAACTAATAGTGTCTATCAATGTAAACTAATTCAAACTAATAGTGTGGAATGCTTCTGTTAATTTTCATGATTAACAGATGTAATTTCTTTATCAGAATTCTTTACACAACCACAATTTATTTATTTAAGAACTTTGTAAATGTGTCTATTTACTAACTGTTAAAAATAGTATTTATATTGTTGTGCAATAATTGAAGCCTAAAGGGGGAAATTTATTTTATTTATTTTTTATTTAAATTTATTTATTTAATGAACAGAGGTACAATTAATCTTAATCAATTAATAAAGTTTATTAAAAACCAAGCCCAACTCGTTAGCAGAAATCATATCTTACAGTCTACTGCTGTTTCTTACTAATCATTCATCATCCCTCTGGCAGCTATTAATGAAATAAAACTGCCGGACTATATAAAACTAACTATATTAACATAATATAATAAACTAATAAATAAAACTAATATAAAATAAAAAAAATAAAACTAACTAAGTATATAAAACTATAAATTTTCGGAATGCCAATGACAATTTCATGAAGCAGCTGCTGATGGCCGACAACCTGTGTCTGCCACTGCGAGACGAGAGCTTGGACGCGGCTCTCAGCATCGCAGTCATCCATCACTTCGCGACCACCGAGCGCCGAGTGCGCGCTATAAGAGAACTCGCCAGGATACTTAGGATCGGCGGCCGACTCATGATCAGCGTGTGGGCCATGGAGCAAAAACATAGGAAGGTTAGTGTGTGGGCCAGGGAGCAGAAACATAGGAAGGTTAGTGTGGGTGCCATGGAGCAGTGTGTGGGCCATGGAGCAGAAACAGACGAGAGCTTGGACGCGGCTCTCAGCATCGCAGTCATCCATCACTTCGCGACCACCGAGCGCCGAGTGCGCGCTATAAGGGAACTCGCCAGGATACTTAGGATCGGCGGCAGACTTATGATCAGCGTGTGGGCCATGGAGCAGAAGCATAGGAAGGTTAGAGTGTGGGCCATGGAGCAGAAACATAGGAAGGTTAGCGCAATGCTTTGCATATTGGAGTTGTGTTTTATTTTTTTTGCGTTATTTATAAGCGTAATCCAACAGTGGAATCGAGTTTCAGTTTCAGCGTATTTTTTAAACAGAAAACTAATTTCCTATAAAAAAATTGAAGCAGCTAGTGAGGGCGCAGAATTTTTTTTTGAACTGATGTTTTTTTTATAATCAAAGCCGTTTATTACACAATGCGGTACAAAAAAAATTGTTAAATTAACTCGCGGTGTCATTTTCTTTGCTTTCATTTTAGGGTCCATGCGATATAATTAAATATTTGGAGTCGATGCAACAACCTTCTGATGAAATTAAGAAACAAAGCCTATGTAATAATTTCTTAATATTCTCATTAATATCCTATATAACGAATATAGTCTCACTATTAACCCCACTAATTCCTGCAGTGTTGCGACTCTACCGGTTGAACTCAACATCATTATGCTGTGTAATACGCTTAAAAAGATACCAACTTTTCACAAGTTCTACATGTCAGAATGTAATCGTTTTCAATGGCATAGTTCGAGTCACAAGACGTGTTGGTTCCGTGGCGGCGTCCCGACCATCTCTCGTCCAGTGACGACAAGCCTTCGTCGGGTCCCGACCCCAGCGACCACACCAGCGCCGGCCTCACCACCACCGACGAGGACGACAGCACGTCAGGTGATGTGAGCGTTTAGAGCAATTCCAAAAACCACCTGTTTGAAAATTATGGTAGATCGATAATGATCAGATTTGGATTATAACTATAATCAGATTTGGAATATATATTTTCTTCGTTTGCCAAAAGTATTGGCAAATGCGCTCCATAGACTAAACTCTAATCGTTTTACAGACAAAGACCACGGCGCTCAGCGAAGAAGCGTCCTACTAAGAGCTGCAGTTCGGCAGGTCCATCAAACCTCCCTTGCACCTCGTGCAGCTCCGGAGCCTCCATGTGTCGGGACTGTGGAGCCATTATCCCGATGACTAACTTCCCGGTAAAAAAACCTCGAGGATCACTTCATGCTGGAGAAACAAGTTCGAGTCCTCCGACGACTACAGACGATCCAGGGGCATCCGACCCGTGCCCATCATGCGGGTCTAGAAGTCGGCTGCTCTCGTGTGAAGTGGCATGTCCTGGTGGTCTGTCTTCGTCGCACAGCTCGTCAGACCTTAGCAGCCCCAACGAGTCGTGCTACAGCTTCGTCAGGAGAGCCCTACAGGTAGACCCACTGACGTGCTGCTACAGTGACTCCTCCTCGTCCTCTGCCGGAAAACAGGTTCATGTTGTTGGCTTTTGACCCCAAAAATTATTCGCCTTCCAATTCGGTCCGTTGCTGTTGTTTTATTCTTCCTATTGGTGTGAATGCAAGCCTCGAATTCGCTCCCTCAGTTTAATCTTATTGTGATTTTTGATCTTTAGTATCTCCTCACAATGGCATTTTTTTATCTCTATATCCCCAACTTCCAAGCAAGGTCCGACAGCGGTATATATTGGACCGAGATGCCCAACATGAGATTTTTTACGTGTGAAAACCTGTTACACCGGATTAAAAAGTATGCATTATTTTTTGATCGCTATCTGACCTTGAAATGATTAATACACGAATACTCCTTTTTGCTGTGGCTTGATGTTTTTGATTCCTGTCAAGATCTCAATCTCAGCTGAATTTTAGCAATATTTTCTAAAAACATTTTGTGCTTGTTCCGATATTAATTTGATTGTATGGGTTCGAGTTCATCCTGCATAAGGTCTGCAATTCCTTTTCTAGATAAAAAGTAAGCACCATGACTACATTCTTGAACAATAACCGAATTACATCTTATACTGAATCACAACATATTGAAATTCGACATTCGTTATTCAGTACACGATGTTTCGCTAACGACAAAAATCGGTAAATATGTATTGCCACTCATAAACATAAGGAATATCGAATAATATAAATCAGGAGCGAGAAAAGTGCTCTGTCACCTTCGCCTGTAATCCCCTTTATTCATGTTATAACATTTTATCGCTGTTAGCCTTACAAAAATGAATTTAATATTTATTTTATCGCACCAATCTCGTTTATTCTCTTGCAGAAATAATTTTGTTTTTGAGATCTTCCTCCTTAAAAAGGTTCACAAACAAGAGATTATTACCGAAACAGCCTTGAAGATAAAAGAAAACGCGTCATAAACCCCGAATCAGACTCTCAGATTCCCGAAATGCCGGACACGTAAAGAACTTTCTCTCGCAATTACTTCTTATGTGCAGAAAATATTTCAACCGCCAAACTTCGATGTTGAAAATATGTAATTATTATTAATATACACGTGCAATTAATGACCAGGGCCCATACTTTCAAAAAAAGTCAAGAGATCGTAAGTTCATCAGCCAATCATTGACGGCCTTTCGAGCAAAATCCACCTATCATAGACAAGAAAATTGTGCGTAAGTACTTACGTTCACTTTGCGAGTTTTGAAAGTATGGCCCCAGAGAATTAGTTTATTTAAAGTACATGAGAGTGGAACAATCTCTGATAATTTAAATCAACGAATTCTCTGGTCATTAATTGATCGTGTATAAACAAGCAAATTCTGTCATCTAATAATAATTTATTGTTAATAGTGTACTTCCTGATCGTTATTCTTGTTAGTCTCGTTTCTTTGTTTAGCTATGCCTATAGATTAATGAGTCAGTATTTGCACTTCAGATCTGCATCCTACTTATCTCTCTTTGTAATCTTCAAACATTATTTTATAATCTCGACAAACCAATGAATAAAGATTAACGATGACAATTGACCTCAAATATTTATTTATTGAGTCCAAAAATACATGCATTTTAATTTACCAAAATGTTCAATCCTCTTTCTTGAACCGCAGAAACTGACGAGCGGTCGACGAGGTTCATCTGGTTCGAGTTCTTCGGGGAGATCTTGGTTCCTGCCAGGAAACGGGTTTCGATCGGAGGATTGGACGAATGGCAGCAGTGGAAGCAACCGAAAAAGAATGCCATTTCGGCGAGGAGGTTCTACAGATTCTCAAGAAAACTTGGATGATGTTCCAATCGAACTCCGTCACCTTGAACCGGAGGACCCGGCTATGCTAGACATCCCACCTTCTCCTGCTGTACATAGCGGGTTTTCATACGCTAATTATGATCAACTCAAAGATGTAAAATCCAGGAGTTTGACAGATTTGGTAAAAACAACACCTCCAAGACAAAATTCCGAGGTAGGTTTCGGCAGCTCATCGGACTGCTTGACGTCAGTTGACAGCCTGTCGAATGTTATTAGATCAAAGTCAAGTTCTTCATGTTTATCATTGTCGTCTCCTCTATCGGCGAGCGGAGTGAGTGCAGCTAGTATCGACAGTTTTCATACTAAAGATTCACTCAGTTCAGAAAATGTTAGAGAAGCTTCTGTTATGGACTCACCGAAGTACGCCGCCTTGCACAGCATTGACAGCGGACTTGAAATTGAAGCTCCTCTTGCGACTTCAAGAAAACGACCAACACTAACTAAGCAGAAAACGTCTATCAACGAATGTGAATTAGAAACTCATATACTTATCGAAATAAGCAAGCCCGAGAAAGTTACCGAGCCCATTAGAACAGTTTCTGAAGATGTCGTTGAAGATAACAAAGATTATTTAAGTATTCCGAAAGGGTTAGGGATAATAAAGCAAAGTTCATTAAATGATGAATTTATCTATCCAGACCGGTTCATGGAAAAAGAGAAGATAAAACAAAGCATTCAGAAACAAAGCTCCTTGAACGAAGACTTGATTTATGGAAATAAGGAACAGAAACACGAATCTTTGAAAGATATTCTTTTTAAGGCACAAGTGAAAAGATTTCAAGTCATTCGTGAAAGCTTTGAGAAATTAAGAACAGCAAGCTTAGATCGTTTCGAAAAGGAACGACCAGATTCACTTAAAAATGGTATTGTAAAACTGCTGCAATCGTGGAGAAGTGAGCTCATGCTTGGCAAAGGATTAAAAAAAGATGGCAAAACAACTGAATGTGAAGCCTCGGAAGCCACAGCTGAAACCGTCAGAGAATGCAACATCATTCAAAAATTGTTGAGACGCAGCAGTGGAAGCACGGAATATGACGAAAGCAGAAGAAATAGTTTTGATGACAAAAAGTCTGGTGTTTTTGAACCAGGAGAAAGGAAATCATCAAGAGAAGATGGTTCTGATAGCTCTAAAGAAAACAGTTTTCAAAGTGACACGAGCATTGACTCTGAAGATAGTTGCGTGTCAGTAATTTTCGTTCCAAAACCTGGTCAGCCCACTCCGGTCAGCATCAATGAGAGGAATCGTTCTTTATCTTCTGAATCGTCTGAGGGCAATGAAAATCCGCTGTCGCCCAAATCTCCGAAATCTCCTAAGTCTCCTAAGTCTCCAGGTGCAACTGCTTGTGCCGGCGGCCCATCTAGATATTTTCCTCCTGGGCGCTTTCTTGGACCAAAAATAACTCCAAAACTTCCATTGGGAGTGCCTTCTACATTTTCTTCTGTGTTACCTGGATGTTCATCTTTGGATGTTAAAAAAATAAGTCCGCCTTCAGCTGAAAAATCGTTGCATGTTTCTAACGTATCTGTGATCTGCCAGAAACCTTCGTTAGAGAAAGCTGAATTCTTTTTTACTAAACCCTCTCCACCAACGTCAGAAACTTACAGAGAGTTGTTTCGTCAAAATTCTTTGACCTCCCAAGCCATCATCGAAGATGTAGTCAAGAGTGCAACCAATGCGTCTGGACTTTCTTCAACAAAAATCACATGTCTTCCCCATCAGAATAGTGGAAAATCTGTCTTGGTGACACAAAGCTTACATTTAGGTAGTTGTGACACAATGAATAGAACTTCTGTGGTTCGGAAAGAGTCAGCAGCTTTAACAGTTAATTCAAAAAGTCAGCCGGAGAGTAGTGGCATCGGAGGAAAGTCGTCTTCTGTTGATGGTTCAAGCGCTTCCTCTTTATTCTTGAACTCTGGTGCCACTGTTCCACATGTCGCAGTAAAACTTTCTCATAATAATGAATTTAACCCAATTTTAAAGAGAGATCCAAGTTCCACGAAACAGCTATCTTCTCTGCTTCTAGGAGAGAACGTAGAGATCATTCGTAAGCCTGCAACGGCTGGAAACCGAGATGTACAAATTGTTAGGAAAACAGTGCCTCGCTATCTCACCTTCGAAGTATTTAATCCTGAAACTGATGATTTGGATAGCGACAACTCTTCTTCGTCTTCATCTTCAACATCATCTCCAAGTACCCACTCAGAAAGTTCTGTAATCGAAAGAGGCTGGCCGACTGAAAAAGACATCGAAGAATTGGACAAGGAAATTAAAAGATGCGAGGAAGAAGAAAAAATAAGAAATATGCAGATTTATCAGGCACTGGAATTAGAAGCTTTGGAGACGAGCCTCCACTCGGCAGATGCTCCGAAGATGTCGTTAGTCGAGCCAGTACACAAAATGGATACAATTCGGGAAGAGACTCCAGGCAGCAGCAGTGGTAAGGGGCTGTTAAATACAATAAAAAATATAACTCAGTACTCACTGCAGTGAGTGACAGAGAGCGCATTTTCTCGTCGACGAAAACGTGAAGTCACGGAACGATAGACAGACGGACAGACAGACGGATGGACATGGCGAGCACAATAGTGTATTTTTTCCATAAATGAGAAAATGCGGTAAAAAGATTCAAAATCAGCATATACTGTACATCAGGTTTTCCCAACTGTCATTTGAGTTGACGGGCAAAGTAAATTGTTGGCTATCTTTGAATTTCATCACAATATATCTCTAAAGTTTATGCTTATGAAATTATTCACGAACGAGTAATACTTAAATTTGGTTAGTAATTATGATACAGGATTTTCAGCAATTATTTCCATATTAATGAAATTGAACTGCTTACTCCAACAGGAAACATTACCAGAAAACCTCGAGGACTTCCAGTTCCTCCTATCAGAAGTCCTCAAGTTTCCAACTCAGAACATCCTATGGTGTCCCGCGCGCCTTCCCTACATCCATCATCATCATTAATTCCCCTCGAAACAAAACTCTACTCCCAATTTGGTCACCGATCTGCTTTATCTTCATCGATTCCTCCATCTGTCAAAAGTCACTCCCTGACAAGTTCTCCACAACTCAGAGGCTCTTCAAGTGGGCATGTCAGCAGTTTGAAAGCTGCTGAGTACAACGGGAAACAGGGAAACACACCTCGTATTTCAGAGCACAGACCTGTAGAGCTTCGTACTGTTCAAGGTCTTCAGTGGAAAGACAATCTGCATCCCTTGGCATTCAGCACGCTAAGTTCTTCAAGTCACAAGCCCGTTGGAATTGACAAAAATTTTAGGTCTTTGGAAGGTTTGAGTTCAGAATGCTCCTCTAGAATATCTTCCGCTTCTTCGCCAACTAGACAACTCAGTACGTTGATTAAGATAGAAATATATTGTGTAAATAGTTGCATTGTGGATAGCCACTTATTCATATCAATTTTTATTTTAAATTTAATTGGTATTTCGTTTCAGTCAATTTAAACGCTTCATGAGTTGAACTATATTAAAAAAGGTATAAAAGTTTTCTGAAATCGCATCGCAACTAAATATTTCAAAATAAATTTACTACGCATAAACTGGTTACCCCCCATGCACAATAATTTTATAATGAGCTGAAAATCACATAATTGTTAGTGGGCATCCGGCATTCCGTATTATACTTATATAGAGAAGTGAATATTGAATAGACGTATCCATGCTATTAAACTCCTGGGACATTATTAGTAGGCTTCAAACATGCAAGCCAACTTTTTAAATGCATATCAATTGAAAACTTATTTTACCAACATTTCTTTGTCTCATGTCTTGCTTTAGACCTGAAAAGTCCAATTTATTTGCTGCTTTTAGGACACAGTAAGCTAATGCTGCTGGATCATATTCCAGGTTCTGCACGGTCAGAGTCGAGGCGAAGGAGGGCCGCCCAGTTAAAAGGGCGTTTGAATATCGTTGGTTCAGGCAGAGGTCCCATACCTCTGTCGATACCTGGCAGCGGGAGAGCGCCGATCTCAATCAGTGGCAGGAGTTCCTCGACCAGTTGTGCTTACTCTTCGGTCCGCATCAATGCTTCAGGACCCAGAAGAAACACCATCAACGCAATTCCGATAACGGTTCCAGAGCCGACGTCGACCTTAGATCCAGCAATGGAAATATTCTCGCCGGAAGACCATGTTTCGAAAATATCAGTAGTTACCCCGCCCTTTTGTTCAGTGAAAAATGACGTCATTTTTCGACCAGAAATTGATGATCTGGCAGCGGTGGAACCTAAAAGGCATAATTCAGTAGTGAATGAATCAGGTAGGGTTTGTCTAGATCGTAAGTCTAGGGTTAATAATACTTTTCAGAAGCAGAGCTCGTTTGAACTCCCATCAATACTTCAAAACTTATTTTCTAGCTCTAATGCAACCTCAGTCCCAAAGGATCCTACGATTGATAAAACTTCTAGAAATGAAGGTAACTTCTCTAGTCTAGCCTCTCTTTTTCCATTAAAGCTCAGCCAGGAAAATCTCACAGTGGGAATTTCTCATATTTCACAGTCGTGCGATCAACGGCCTAGAGCCTATTCACTAGATAAATTCAAGTTACATAAAAGTGATAGCACAACACCTTTGATACAGTCCAAGGAGCTGAGTTCACAGAATCTTGAAGCATTTGATAAAGAAAATGTCCAACCCAAAACTGATGTGAATTTAATAGAAAATGCTCCAGAATCAAGACAAGAAAATCGTAGAGTTAAGACAGAAAATGAAGTTCAAAAACGTTCTTCGGAGAAACCAGAGTGTCAAGTGTGTGCCAAAGAAGCACAAAAGCGTCAAAAGCAGAGAGAAGAAGAAGCCGTTGCCTTGCAAGTGGCAAACGCTCGTCGTTTGGCGAAGCGAAGAGAAACTTTCAAGCCACAAGGTTCTTTGGACTCGGCTCAAAGCGACCGTACGTCAACAGGGTCTGTCAAGGGATGGTCACCGTTCCTGACTCGAAGTGGATCACTAGACTTGGATATAGATTGGCGGGAGGACGGTAGAAAAGTATCCAGGAATGGTTGGGGAGCAGGGGATAATTCTCTCTCTACTTCCCAGGACTCCCTACAGTCAGACACAGGTGGGGGCGCTCCAACACTGCATCGTTATTATCACGTCTTCAAGGACAGAGAGTTAGATCAACTTATCGAAAAATATGTTCAAAACTTGCACATCATCTCGTCGTATTATGATCACGCTAACTGGTGCATTATAGCCGAAAAAGTACAGGTTTGGACCATATGAGCTTTAAGTACCTCCTACATATATCAGTATCAATCTATTGCTTGAACTTAATTAGTTATGAGTGTCTAACGGCATAGTGTAAATACATAGCAACTGTGGCTACCTTACAAAAGTTTATCGGTGAGTTAGGTACATTAGTGTATATTTCACAGTGTTCGTATTTTTTTAATGTTTTAGTCACTGATTTATACGTATATTGAAAAAGTCATATCAGTTAAAGGCCTCATTGCAAACCCATCTGCAAATTAGAATCAGATGCCTTTAGTTTAGTGTTTCCACATTCAGATATTTAATGTGATATGTATTTTAATTGATTGAAAAACTATGTGTGGCCAAAGCTTGTTTCTGACCACGTTAGAACCAACAGAGATGTTTTACTTAACAATCACATTGCTCTGCGTAGCCTCACGATTAATGATGTCATTTGACTGGAATGCAATGAATTGGAAGACTATGCGGACTAATTGATTTTTTTTTATTTCGTATCAACTGTGGGATTCAGGAGGATGTGAAGCTTGCAAAGTTTCCCCACTGCGAAATATTTTAATTTTTCCCGCTTTTCAGATAAGGAAACGAATGTTATTTTCGACACTGTCCACAAGTTATCATTTCAAAGTTCTAGGGAAGAGGGAATTCAACAAATAAACAGATCATTAATTAGCTCGAAACTAAAGGCCTAGAATTTTAATTGAGAAAAACTCCTCGTATTGATAAGAATATCTTGAATGCGCTTCTGCAAATTTGATTCATCTATGCACCAATGTTGTAGTCATTTAAACTGAATAAATGCAACTTCTGGACCAATTTTTAACGAGCGGGGGAACTTTTTTTGTCTTGGGGCGATATTCTACTATTGAAACACACATCGATTCCACAAATCCATCAGGTACGACAAATCGCACTTATAAATATTTTTATTCAAAATTGCATTCATAGTGATCGTTGTAATTTTATGCCAACCACTTGAACAGCTTATAAAGATTTATGCAATTCTATTTTGAATATGATTTATATTTAGAAAAGATATGACTGACAACGATGCCACAGATTTCAAACTTTATCAAACCCAAATTTTTGAAGCAGTTTTTTCTGGTCGAATTTCATTTTTGGTCTCTTATTCTATGAAGGAAATTTCAACAAAATGCAGAAAGAATGCATGAAAAATGCATGACGAATGGCAAAAAATCCTTACTCGTGTAATATGCGTGTAAGAACGGCTGAATGAGGTAAAATTTTTTTTTTCGGTGGTTTTCAAGACGCATTTCTGGTTAACAATTCTGTTCCGTTAACTACTGCCAGTGACAGTAATAGTTTTCCCTTTTATTTTAAGAAAAAGTTACTTTGTGGAAAATTTTTTTTATGCAAAAAGTCTCTATTGATATTGAAAATAAATTTAAATCACCGAATATATTTCAATACATTGCTTAAAATAGGTCAGTCGATACTTCGACAAATTTTCTTTCAACGAAATTATGCACCTATCACACGTATCTCGCGTTTCAGCGAACATTTGAAATGACTTTTTTCAAATACCCGTGAAAAATTTTGTCCAACATGTATCGTTCGTACTGTTTCAATTTTCCAAATTTCTACCAGTGATATTTCCCGTAAAAGGAAAATGAGAAGATTTCCCATTAGAGTAAATTGTTGCTGTTTAAATTGTCGAGATAATGTTTATAAAGTTGATTTTATGTTCCAGGTTTTTGTTGCAATAGTCGAAGGATTAATATATGTGTTCTCTTTTCGCTCTGAGGTTTAAAATTAAATTAAGTATCATTACGTGTGGTTATCCTTTTGTTAGCCTCTGCTATGTTTGAATGGAGGATAGCACCAAGATCGGCATAGCAAGTTGCGGGATCGAGGCACATTGAGCCGTGAAAATTCTCTAATGTCGCCTGTAAGCGGTACTAGCTGGTGTCAGCCGTAGTGCCATAAAAGAATTATAAATATTCGACATTAGGAAGTCTCTTTCTTTGAATAAAAGAGAATTTGTCTTTAATAACAATCAAGGCAAACACATACCATACTGTTTGTAAAATAAAACTACAAGAAGCAAAATAACGGCACTGTCAGCTATCCGGAGTTTTCACTGACCTCATATTTACCGGAAATCTTGGTAGTTTAATTAATTCACATTTGACATATGCAAATAAACGTCATCCTTCGGGATTCAATGTAGGATACTTAATGTACCTTAAATTAAAATATTTTTCTTGGTATCTGCGGAACTTACATTTCTCTCACGAACATTTCTTCTGACCAAACATGTGTTTTATAAATGCGCTTTCATTATATATTTTGTGGAAGAACCGATTGAGTGGTCAATAAAATTGAAACAAACCTATTATTTCGAGTTCTCCATGTGCGTTTTAATATTTCC